CCCCCCAAAACCCCAAAACCCCAAAACCCCAAAACCCCAGACTATAGGTATATGAATGAGATTAAATGATAAATAATTAAGAAGGGAATGTAAATCTATAGTTTGAAACTTCTCAAAAGAACTTTGAATTTGATAGGGTTTTGATAACTTTGCCCATTTCATCAGTCTTGACCTGGCCAGTAAGCAAGAAACAACTAGTTCTCCAAGCAAATTCTATCTCACTCCCCACTTCCTATGAGAGATAATTGAGGAGCTCTCTTCTTGTACCTTTTTTCTTCTGTTAAAGTGCCTGTTTGGCTGCTTCATCTAGATCTGTTTGATTGAGAGACATTACCAATTTTTTAAAATTGCCGAGGAGATATGATTCTTCTTAATTTTTCAAGCAGTAAGCCTTAATGTCATTGATGTCAGGATTAATCTCAACCTTGCTCTTCCACTTGAACATAAAGAGAGGTAGAGTATATTTGAAAAATGACTTCAAGTCGAATTTGCTTTTAGACTCTTCATCATCCTCATCATCACCATCTTCATCATTATTGTCACTATCATTTCCATAACCCTCTTCTGATTCCTCTTCTCCATAGCCATCACTATCACTATCATTGTCATCACTGTCCTTATCTTCATGGCTTTCACTCTCCTGCTCTGACTCTGCTTATGAATCTTTTGGCTAGTCATCTTTCTTTTCTTCCTCTCCTTTTTCACTGAAATCCTTCCACTTTATTTCTGTTGACTCCTCCAAAACTTTTCTAAATTACTTGTTATGGAATTTGAGGGATCCCTCAATTTTAAGCCCTTTACAAATCTCAGTTATGATAGGATCTTCACTGTGGAGAATAGCATCTAACTTTTAAGTCAGTTAGAGTTAAAATTCTAAAACGGCTTCGATACTTTTATCATCAAGTACTTATGAAATTCTTTCAAGCTGTTCTCCTTCCTCGCAGTAAGTATCATAGAAAGGGTCTAGTTTATCGCTCTCGAGACCGATTCTGACTTTCTTTCCATCAACCACAATGGATGGACAGTAATCCTCCTCTAGGGATTTGATATATTCCATTTCTTCGATATCTTCTATAACTGATTTAAGATCCTTAGCCTTAGGCTTAAGACCAATAGATACCCAACTATCTTCCTCAAACATGTGAAGATTCTTCAAATAAAGTATCTTTTCATCACTTTCTGAAGGGAAAAATGTCACCTTGAAATCTATCAAAGTTCCTATCTTTTGTACAGGCTATCTTGTCTCTCCCTTTGCTTTTGCTTTACCTTTGGCTTCCTCAAAGTTCATTTTCTTCTGCTCTTTAGGAGAGGGTTAAGGCTATTAACCAGCAGGAAGGCCTAGGCCTTTCCCTAGGAACATATTCTTTCCACCACCAACGGCACCTCCTGCTGGTGCTTTGAACAATTGCGAAGCTAGTTGCGGCTATTTACCATCCTTTGATTCTTCTTTTATAGCTGATGGTTAAATGATGAATTCGAAATTGCTTTCAAAATGTTCTCTAAGGATTCTGATCTCCTTCTTTTTAAGAACATAACTATTATAGTTTTTCTGATGGAGCTCATCTACCCCTTATTTTTGTAGCTATTAAATAACCCAGTCAATAATGTAAAATTTGATTTGCTCGTATTTGTCAATTTTGCCCTCTGACCACCATTGCAAGAACTTCTTTTTCTTAACAATGACCTTCTTAGGGTCTCTATCTTGCTTTCTTTCTGCAAAGTACTCCACACATATTTCCTCAATGACATCTCTCTCATTTTCTTCTAAACCTTATAGCATATCTTCAACAGTCAAATCAGTTTTGCCATCAAGAAGAGAATTGTATATTTTCTCAGCACTCTCCTCAATCTTTTTGTGTTATTCCTGCAGAGCTGCAAGAAGTTCTGTAACTTGCTCATAGTTGAAATAGTTTTCAAAGTTTTCAGGGTTTTCATTGCCAATATAAAACTTTATCGGAACGCCTAAATAAATTTTTAGTAGTTTTCTCATTTTCTTCAGATCATCTTGACTTTCGTAATAGATAATAAGTGCTTGGGCGTTTGTGACCAGTTTCTTGGATCCAACTGAAAGAAGAATCTTGGAAAGATCGTGAGTTTTGATAAGTTTGTCAGCAACTTTAACTTTTTGCGTCGAAGCGCCTAATACTAGTACTCTCATATCTTAATTTATTTAACAATATTAGATGATCAGAAATAATATTCATAAATTACCAAATGTTTAAATTCTGGAATTATTGTTTGGGGTTTTGGGGTTTTGGGGTTTTGGGG